ATACACCTGTGTACCTGCAGCGAAACCTTGTCCCAACAAAAAGCCTCACAACACTGTGATGGATGAACATATCCAGGGTGGGATCCACTACTTCTAGGTTTTGTTTTAAAATTGAGGACGTTGAACGAAACACCAGAGAGGTGATTTTGGTGATGGTCAGTACTCAATGAAGAACTCCCACAGCGACCAAAAAGAAGGAAAATGAGCGTAACATCTGTGTAACCCCACCCTCTTTTCACGCAGACACACCAGGTTGTCAAAAGGACATTCACACACCATTTGCAGAATTACTCCAAACACATGTTGCTGATGTTAGCAGTAAAAGGTTAGCGCCGACTTGTGAGGACCCGTGCCAGCGCTTGTTTGGGGTTGGTTAGAGCTTAAAGCTGCTCCAGCTGTGCCGTGTCCCCAAATACTAGGTCGTCTGTGACTGTAGTGTCAACCCCCCCCCCCCCCACCCCCACACACACCAACACCACTCTCCACCACTTAAAATGTGCCAGTATCGATTTGCTTTCTGCACAGCTGAACAGTTTTATCAGGTTCATTTAGTACAACTCCAGTTGAAATAATGAGTCACTGACACGTGTTATTCATATACTGCTTATTGGATAAACATCATCCAATCCTGTCTTTTGAGGCACAACATTGAATTAAAAGTGTTTTTTTGCTAGCTGGCTTTAAAGTTAATTAAAAAGGCCCTGAAAACTTGGTTGCAAAGCTTCAGTATTGATCTAGAACAGCAGATATTACTGACTAAATCATTAACTCTCAAAATTGAACAGTCAAAAAACTCATCTGGAATGTGTAGGTTTGATTTGACAGTGCTAAAATCATAGCAAACAACCCCACAACTCTCACTTTGATTCAACTGTTCCTGAAACCTGATTGGTGCAGAAACGTAAATAAGTGAGTCTGTCCTCTTCCTGCCAGTGAGAAAAGCAAGGACAAAAACACGTGCAGAAATCTCTTGTGTAAAATAACAAAAACATTGGCCAAAATAGTTTATGGTCATGCCCCATCACTCTTAAAAAGCTGATTCAGTTAGTACATCAAACATTAATCTCTTGCAACCTTTCCAAAACAAACCCTCAAACAAGCATAACAACTTTCCGACTACGAGAAAAGAATAACAGAAAATCACCCACACAAAGACCCTCGACCGAGCTTTTTCCTCGCTGCCATCTACGCTTAGCTGTTAACCTCCCCTGAACCTGCCAGCTGTCCTCTCTCATTACCGATCGAGCGACCTGCTTCTCGGCAAACAGCCCCCCCGAGTGCCACGGAAAGGAGACCCCCGCCGTTCGTGCCTTCTCCTCCTCCTCCTCACCTCCCTCGCCTCCCTCGCCTCCTGTCAGAATCAGAAAACATCTGGAGGAGCCGGAAGAGTTTTGCGGGGCCGCGTCGACGATCCCGCTCCCGTGTCGGAGCGACTGTCCGGGCCTGTGTCATCTTCCTCGCGGTTGAGCGGACATGCAGCGCGGCACGGTTGAGTGTGATGGGATGTGGCAGAGCGACAGAGGCGCCCCGGTCGGACTGTGAACAATTACGGGGATGTGAGAGCGGCGGAGAGAAGGGCTGCTCTCACAGCTGTCACCCACACACAGGGGACTGTCAGGAGATGGAGATCTGTCAGATCATGTCTCATGATTTCGTTGCCCACAATGAATTATAGATTGAGTTATGAGCCCCATGGAGATGCGAGTGACGTAAGAGGAGACTTCAGGCCTGCAGAGAATGACAAAACTTATTATGGTAATGATCAAATCAGCTCCAGAGTTGGATGCAAACATTTGGTGCAAGTCTTAATTTCTGCCGGCACGCTAAAGCGTATTCAAAGACCTTTCTCGAGAGCGCAGCATCGTAAATCTTTCAAGAGATAAGCCAACAAGTAGAGGTTTCATGCCAAAAAGCTACATCTATTTTGATAAATATGTCCCTGCTCATCAAATTATCACTTCAATGAACATGATTTCACACTCGGTTGTTTACAAAACAGGAGAAATACTAGCTTGGTACGTACAGCAGATGGTGGGTTTTACTTCTCCTTCTCAGCCAGCAATCCTTCATAAGAGTGGGTATCACTTTATCATGGGGTACCTGCCTGAATAAGTTGTTTTGCTGCTGGATGTAACTGAGAACTGTGACTTTTTTAAACAGTTCCTCCTGAAAACTGTCAGCGAGGAGGTTCCCAGAGACAGACTCTACAATGGCCCAAACAAGGAGCAATAAAGCTAAATTATAAGCCTGGTGGCGTGTGTGTGTGTGTGTGTGTGTGTGTGTGTGTGTGTGTGTGTGAGAGAGAGAGTGTTTGAAGTCTCACACTGTTGTGAACCTCAAATTTCTAAAACCAGCTGCTGTTCAGCGACACATACACACACTAACGCAGTGCCAGGGGGAAGATGATGTCATTAACAGGGTACGTTTTCTTCTCTAATTACAAACTCGAGCCTCCCACCAGAACTTGGGGGACTTTTCATCTAACCATGCAACAAAACGGGGATTAAACGGAACAAAATGTTTGACATCATTCTTAAAATGTGACGTTTTTAGGGCTGCGCTCCGCAGGAAAACTAAACCGTGCCTTGAATGTGACTGTGGTACAGCTGGACTGTGAGTGATAAGAAACACATGAGTGGCCCATTGTGAGCTAAAACCATGAAATATCTCGCAGCTTCCGCTCGCCCTCCGCAGCCAGCACTGATGTGGACCCAACCGATCAGATTATACACTCGTAGAGCCTCGAAAAAACATCGTTGTTTTCAGGGGAGAAAATTGGAAAATTAAAGTCTAAGTGGAATCCTTGTGTGCTATTATGTCCCATAAGATATTCCCGTCTTTGACCTGTGCTAGATCATGCGGACGTCAGTGTCGTGGTGGCTCCTTGGCTTCTGTTCGGACGCCTATACGGTGTATTGAGCGTGTGAACATTCATGAGTATGGTTTAGAGATGAGTACCAACACCATCCTCATCCATATCACCACTGGTGCTGTGAGCCGAGCGGGACGGGAAAAGACCTAAATTACATTTCATTTAGTCACGTTAATGTCAGGCTTCCTGTCAATGCCGCAGACGGAGACTGCAGCGATCAGCTCTGCGCCCCCGGGCCCTCTGCTCTGTAACGGCAGGAAGTATTCTCGTCCGCTCCGCTGGGATCAGCATCAAACACAGACGAGGCCGTATTACAGCTGGAAAATTAGCGCACTGCCACATGAATCGCGGGAGGAAAAAAGAAGGGACTGTTTACGATATAGGCCCCACACAGTAATTTTGCAGGTATAGGAATTCAGTCGGAGAGATGTTTGTTTCCTGCGTTCAAACATGTGCAACGTGTTGGATGTAGGCGTTTATGATCTGTGACTCATTGTAGCTCTCGAGCAGGGATGCAAACCAAGTCAGATTGGTGGGTTTAAACTGTCAAGAAAAACAAAAGTTGAATCATGGAACGGTAGCGAGAGATAATGGGCCTGAATCTAGCTTCTAGTAAATTCATTATACGTCATGCATAACAAGTGCCTTGAGGGTGATCACACCCAAAACTGCAAGACAGCAATCTTATAGCCAACATGGACTCCTTAAAGTGCTCAAAAGATGGAAGTCTGAGCTGTTTTGTCAGTTAGTTGAAGTAGGACCCCCCCCACTCTGGAAAGTAACAATAAGGCTTCATAACCGCACCATCATGTCCATGATCTGCATCAAAAAGCATGAATTAAACCTGCGCATGGGCCAAACCAAAGCGTGCTCACCTACGAATCTCAGGGTGAATGTGTTTACAGGACATGTGTGGTCTGTTTAGTCTAGCTCCAAGTTGTTTATGCTCCTGACCCCCACACCGATCAAACCACTGCATGAAACACATCAGCGGAGAGTTAGAGGGTGGGGGGTGGGAGGGGTAAGGCGGGTCAAGGTGGATTTGACCCCGAGGGCACGCGATTGTCTCCTTGGAGGAGAAAGTCTTCACAGTCTTTTCGGTTTTGAGAGTTGCATAATGGCCCCTCAGGTCCCCAACTTACTTTTGTTCTTTTGAAAGCTCTCAGGTAACACCGTCTTATGAGGCTTTATAATGTTTTCATTCGTACGACCGGCTGCAAAACGAGACATGCATATGTCACAAACTAACTGATTGGTAGGAAAATGCTAAATTTAATTTCAGCACTACGAAACATCTCTTCCCTGATTAGTCGACTGGAAGCCAGAGCCTCACTTGTGCCGTTCCCCTGATTTCATCCAGATGTAAATATTTTGTGTGGAGCAGACTTAAGATGGGATAAACCTGCTGCCCCAGGTTATCTGCTGGACTTCAAGGCTGAGTTAAACCAGGGAGCCCACATATAGCTTTACATGGCAGATGATGAATTGCTGCATTTGTCAACTTCTCACAAAAAAAAATAAAAAATCCATCCATAAACCTGAAGTATTGTTTATGGATCATCCAGCTCCAAAAAAAGTCTGACATCCATCACAGACATGCTGCCAAGCAGAATTTGCCTTATAGGGCATCGGCCATAAACACACCATAAAGATCTCAGGCGTGACTCTTAAGAAGACAAACTGTAAGTAAACCTGTAAACTTTAAAAGGGCAGACACGTGGACTATGTCTTAGGGGGGAGAGCTGTATCCACTTTAGGATTTAACTTGTATTAATTCATAGTAATATAGGTATGTTAAGCCAAGCAGACTATAATAAAGTCTAGTTATCCCTAGTGAGTGCCACACTCAATGCCACAGCATTATGATGTCATTTTATTTAGCGTTTCAGCTGTTCACTTCGCATATGGTTCATTCAATGCGCGAGCAATCCGTGCCAATCTTTCGCTCGTGCAAAAGTGTAAAACAGTGCTGCCACATTATGAGAGCAGAATCACAGCGACCACAGATCCGATGAATCAATTCCTACCCGAATCCACCCTGATCGGTACCCGGAAAACTTCCCAAAATGCATGTCTCGACTCACACGTCCGCTTATAACGGAAAAACGAGAGCCAGCTCCTCGCTCACCTTGTCTGCTCAGTTTATCCACTCCTTCGGATCCCGTAAAGGTGGCGGAGATCCTCGCTCTTCTGTGACAGACGGAGCTTCAGCGCGCTCAGCTCTGCGCTCTGCGGGGACTGTTGGCGCACTGATAGACCGCTGCACGACAGCAGCCGATAAAGAGGGAGTCCCTACAGCGGAGGGGGGGGGGGGCAGGTATGAGGCTGTTGCGTGTAAACTGACTCCTGTGCAGGGAGCATGCAGGGAGTGGAGTGGAGTGGTGGTGGGGTGGGGTGGGGGGGGGGGCAGGACTGGAGACTCCAGTGTCAAATGTGCCATCACAATAAGTCATTTGGCTTCATAAACATTATTCTAGTGTCAGTAGTATTGGTGGAAGTTTAATCAAGTCAAGTTGTATATATCGTATCTTGAATTATGTGATGGAAGTAGCTGAGGCAGTAGTTATTTCTAAAAGAGCATATTTTGTAGAGTCCTACTTAAAGCTGGGGTTGGTAATCTTCTTCTTCAAATTTTTTTTTGATATTCTTGTTAAAATTCTCACAGCATTTCATTTGGCCGAATGTTCCACAAGCTAACAGCCATGTTGGTTGTTCACGTTCATTATGATATGTTTACGGTCATAATGGTAATTTTTGGGGAGGGGCTTTAAAGTTAAGCCTAAAAGGACGGGTTGTCAGTGTTGACGAATTTCTTGCTACACTTAGCACGTTTTGGAGCTGGTGCTGCTTTCATTGGAAAAGAGATGGCAACACTGGGCTGTTTTTTTGCGGTTGGATCATTTATTTAATCTAGCATTCTCGTGCTTCATTTCTCAAAATGACCAACCCTGCCTTTAATAAGTTATTAATTAATGGGCAGGAAGGACAAATCCATGAGTTTTATATCATTTAATTCATAAGAATTATTTTTTTCTTTTAGATTAGTCGCCCTACATTAGTGTTTTTGCACTAATCTTGTAGCCTGTACTGTTGTTGTCAAGGTTCTACCACTTATTTTATGGAAATAACTGGAGAAAACCTGAAGCAAAGTTGTTTATTAACAACTTGTTAACTTATAAAGTCTTTATAAAGTGTGGGGTGGGGGTAAACTACCAAAAAGTTTACTTCCACTAAAACCTGTTCATGACTAAGAGTCTACGACCAAATTCTAGCTGCTTTGTGAGGCTGAACTGAGCTAAATGCTAATGTAAGCATGCTAATGTTAACATGCTAATGGTTATCAGGTAATACGTTTATATTGTTCACCATATATTAGCTTGGTGTATTAGCATGGGAACGTAATTGTTAATCGGCACCCAAAGACAAAGTGCAACTTTTACGGATGTTTCGTCATAAACCAAAGTATAACTAAAATGTATTTTATTTTAGAATGAATGACTAAATCGTTAGTTACCCACTAAGCGGTTTGAAAATAGCTTCCCTCGTGCTGATTGGTTATACTATCCTACTTGCATTTAGTTGATTGATTGATTGATTGTGCTTTTATCAGGATTGTTCTCCAGTTGTTGAGTCAGGAACCTTAACAGTGCACTTTACACATCTTAGCGGACTTTTAGCTTTTAATAGCCTCACAATTAGCACATGACCTGAGCAGCTTTATCCCCTTTTATGTTGTTAACTGTCACCTGTGATGCAGTTAGAATAAAATAATACCAGAAGATGTTCCTTATGTGTGAACCATGAAGCTGGGAAAGCTTTACATTCACTTTACTTATTTTAATGTAATTCTTTCATTTGTGGTCCTCTGCTAATTATTTGTCATATAGCTGTGGGCAAAAAATGATGAAGTTACAAAATGCTGATGTCCTCAATACTTGAATAAAATCTAAGAATAATCAGCAGACTTTGCAGCTACGTGCTGCTCATCGCAGCGACCATCCTCTCTTCTTCTGTGTTTTCTCTGCCCCCCCCCCCCCCCCCCTTTCATAAAAAAACAGCTCACCCGCTCAAAGAGGGCAGGAGAGGGGGGGGGGGGAGAGTGAAAGAGAGATAAAGGAGTGATCCACACATTTCACACACACCTGTTTCTCATTCTCAAGCCCCTCACTCTTGACAGGGTCGACGGGCTACACTGGCAAAACAGGCAAAACTGAGGTCGACTCTCCCTCTCTGTCGCTCACGGGAAAAGTGTTAAACTGATAGGAAAGTGCGTAAATGTGCAGTTTAAAAATAGCAAGCACGCTCAGCAAAGCCTTGAGAGAATAGAGGTTTAAAAAAAGAGATCAACATACTCTTGTATTATTAGAGGTATGGCATTTCTTAAAATAGAAGTTCCTCTTTCTGCAGTCACGCTACATTTGGGGCACCTCCAGACTGGAGCCGTGGCTGTGCTCTGCCACATCTGGGCGCACTAACACGATCTGTGGATCCCGTTCCATGATCTCTGCCCTCGCACCCACGCCTCAAGGAAGCCACACTTCCTGCTGAGCGCTGTGCGCGAGGTGGCGAGCGACCTCAACCTTGTTTGACGCCATCTTTTTGCCCCCCAGGAGGGCACTTCCTGCTGCTATGTGGTTGCGGATGGCCGACTTAGCAGGTGGCTAATGCCTAGCATGATTCCTGGTGCCAGTCAGCTGTTTAAGACCCTGTTAACTCGGGGGCGATAATCCTGTAAAAGCTGTGAAAGATCACGCACAGAGAGGGCGAGGGAGACAACCAGGGTCCAAAAGGATCTGAAATGTTTCAACTGTGAGAGATCAGACTAGTAGTAGTTGCTTGTGTGCTCTTACACTAGGTTTGTGAGGACCAATTTGGGTTTTAGATCTTGAGAGTGAATACATTTTGAGTGGTCCATACTTAATGAATGGGCTGTTTGAGAGTTAAAGGGTCACTATTTCATAGAAAAATAGTTCCAGAGAAAACTGTTCAGAGTTCAGAGATTTGTGATTGTTTGAATCAGAAACAGGCCTTGGAAAATTGCAGAAATGTCCTGACTCTCAGACTCAATGTGGTTTTCACAGAAATGGAAGAACAAGAGCACACACACACACACACACACACACACACACAAACATACACACACAAGCTTGAGGATTAATGACACTTCAAAGGAAGGAAGCCGCACCGTGGCCAGCTTCCTGCCCCTTCCCATCTTGGACCATTTGCTGGCATCTCTGTAGCTGACGACGGCCTTGTGAGCCATGTGGTGGCTATTTGGAGCCACAGAGGTAATCGTCTGTTGCAGCGCTTTGTCTTCCGTATAGGTTAAGTTCAACAATAAGCGGCCTGGGGCACCTGAACCAGTTGTGGTCTTGCTCAAACTTGATGGAGCCCATTTGTCTTGGACTGAAAGATATTTCTCGGGTTTGATTGTGAACGCAGTGAAAAGAGGAGGGTTGTGGCGTAATTATTTTCTTTCTTTTTTTCTGTTGACCAATTTGTGATGTCCCAGGCAGGAGGAGGTCAGGTAGAACTTTGACCTTACAAGGACTCTTAAAGATGCACTAATCAATATGTTCGTATTAACAATGGATCATATCACCCAACTCTGAAGTGTACTACCATCATTCAGCTAATTGTTTTGGTTTTACAGCCTACAACTCGGCACAAAAAAACGACCCACGGTACGACATATTCCCAGCACCAAATGGCAGATAGAAACAGTTATAGACACAGTGGAGCATTTAGCAGATAAAGAGCCTGATATTTCCTTCAGGAGAAGGAGACCAACAACAGAGCTAAATGAAGAGTGATTGTCAAGTGTTAATTCATCAAGTGGCCTGCAACATGACTCCAAATGATACTGGTGATACTTGTTTTAATGGTAGGGAAGGATTATGGTTTTAGTTAGATATTGATAAAGTCAACCTTAAACCTATATTTACATTTAAACAATATTTTTACCAAGCCTTCTCTAACCTAAATAGAGTGCTTTGAGTTGCATTAAGTGTCCTACAAAACTTTTTTGCTAATAGAAGTACAGTATAAGAACATCACTTCTAGGAGACAGCTTTGACTTTTCTGCAGTCATTTCATCTTAAATATCTTGAGCAGTGACCGTTTTCTCTCCCCCTCCTCTCATCCCTATGAGTGTAGTGACTTAAGGCCCAGACCTGGTGGTTGACCTCAACATGCTCGCACCGGTGTGTCCTCTTTTGTTTATCTTGCCCTCTGTGCTGACCTTTACCCCTCTCCCCACCACACTCCTGCCAGTTACAACGCCTTTTGTATGGCGTTTGCATCTGGTGGAGGAACAGCATGCCCCTGCATTGTTTAGTTTTAGTGCTCACAATCTCACAGAAAGAAAGGGAGGAAGATGTTCGCAAACAAATAAAAGTCCTGAATATGTCAGAATTGTTGACCCGGTGCCACAGTCGTTTGTATGAAGAATTGTTTTGTTTGAGCTCCAACATGCAGCGGCTCTGATTGACGTCTGGGTTGCAGCCGAGGTGTGATGTGCTGCGTTTTGGATCAGATCCATGATCTGACATGTGTCTGGGCAGCTCACAGCACTTATTGTTTACGAGAAGTGTACGAGAAGAATGTCAGGAATGCAGTGTGCGTAATATTTCCTCATATTAAAGATCAATATTTGTCTAAGTACTGAGAGAAGCAGCTATCTCGTCATGTAGGGAGACATTCTCTGGGTATTTCCACTTGTCTCAGGGACTCACTGCCGTGGGCAGAACATCTTTGCTGTGGTGAAACAATACCAGACGGTGAAGGGCCTCAGCAGAGAAGGAGCTGGCCTTATGAAATGCGCTCTACAGTCAGACTTAGGGGTCCGTCAGCCAAAAGGTCTTCACGTAAACAGCCCAGGCCAACACATTCAGGCTTTCTGTGAAAACAAACACTGGAAAGTAGAGGATTAGTTTTAGTATGTGGGTCGGTGTCTGTCAGCTGGATGGCCGGAGAGGTTGTCATGTCTAGATGGCAGCTCTGCCACCTGCAATAATATTGAACACTGTAAAAGTTTGTTGGAATAATACAAAACTGAGAACGTGATTTTGGGATAAAAGCCCTTATATGTTGTCCCATTAAAATCCTGATAATAAAGTGATACTTCACCCAAAATCAACATTTGACTATCAAATACTCTGCTCGTGTTAGCTTGAAAGTCATGTGAGGGTGTTTTTTTTAAACTTTTGAAATACTGTTGTGCCCCGTAATGGAGGATGAATGTGGACAGTCAGCGCTTTACTGGAAGCAAGAC